TAAAACAAAAGAATGCTATCAGCATTATCACGGAAAAAAAAAAAAAAAAAAAAAAAATGTAAAGGGTAATATCCGTTTTTAGTCAATAAATGTCTCAAATAAAGCCCTGATGATTCAAACGCGTCTTGATGGATTCGGCTTGGTGAGCCTCTAAGCGCCTCTTGGAGGAAGACATTGTCACATAAGGAAAACATATTGCAATAAAGTCCGCCCCAATGTATAAGCACTGCCATAAACGCATAAAAAGCTCCTGCGTGGCAGAAAAAACTGTTCTCTGTGCGTCACGACATGATGAGTTCAGGCTCTGTGTGTGTGTAGACTAACAGCATTTGTATATCATATCATATTCATAATTATATTTGTCCAATAAATCCTTTTAGGATTGTAACTTTGGCCATTAGTTGTAAAACTAAACAATCACTGTTCTGTAATGCTACAATGCAAATGTAGATGCATAGGCCTACGGTACGTTTTCATATAAGCAATGAAATATATTTATATCCAATACTTTTATTCAATAAGGACACATTAAAGTAATCAGTAATCAGCATATTAGAGTGATTTCTGAAGGATCGTGTGACACTGAACACTGGAGTAATTATGCTGAAAATACAGCTGTGCATCACAGCAATAAATTACAGTTTACAATATATTCCAGTTATTTTAAATGATAATAATATTTCACAATATTACCATTTTTACTGTATTTTTGATGCAGTCTTGGTAAGTGTAAGAGACTTTCAAAACCACTAAATCTTATCGACCCCATTATCCCACATTATTCATACAATAGCACATTTGACAACTTATTTGTACATTGATTTTTCACAGTATGTTTACTTTCTGTCATCCATAAGGTCTTCTTGATGGAGAACACAGCCGTTTACCACCTAATCATAAGTTAGTGAGCAACATTATTACTTGTTTAATATTCAACAATGAAGTCATCTGCTGAGGTTAAAGTCCTGTGAAGTGATAATAAATCTATAAACAGCTGTAAATATAACCAACAGTGGTTCCTTATATTGTTTAAGGAAAGCATAGGGCAAAGCATAACTGAAATGAAGGGAACACTGAAGCAGCAATACTGATAGACCATAAAGTATTTTCATCCGATGTTCTCCAGAGAAGTCATCAGATGATGCTATTCTGAATTTATAATCAATTTTAAAAATGGGATATTTTCATGACTCTGTAAAGAAAAAAAAACAGCAGTTCTGATGTGCATTTCCCTAAAAATCATTTTAAAAACAGCCGTATACCATGCAACACCACCAGAGAAAAGAGTCCAGCAGCTCTTTGCACAGTGTGTAGTGTGAGCAGAGAGCACAGTGGCGGTGGGTTGGGCCGCTGTGAGGAGCCAGTAGGAAGTGTTGTGCTGGTTAATGTGCAATCTGTCTGGGAGGGGAAGCTCTGCTTGCAAATGAGTTCTCTAATGTTTCATCCTGTTCTTTTGTGCTTGTGCTGTAGCTCACGGGAATGAGACGTTTCCTCTAGAAATCATATCCTTCAAGAAATGGTTGCAAACTGAGCCTGAACTTTTGCAAACCCTCCGGCAGTCACAGTTGGTCATTTGAGGAAGTTTCACATACGTTTCAGAATGGTAAGTACACTAGAAAGCCTGTGCTGTTTGTTAGTTAAATGTTTATTTAAATGCTTATTTGTTCAAGGCTTTGACCAGCCTGTTGAGATGATGTGCGTGTTCAAACACATACTGTAAAATATTATATTAAAGATGATTACCCAACACATGAAACTCAGTATGTCAGTGTTGGTAAACAGAATATGACGACATTATCTGTTGAAGCTGACTTCATCTAGATCTTTGGACTCAGCTGAATATGACTGTCAGTCAGGAAGTTCGTGGTGAACATGAGAGGGAAATTGTGGCAGGATGGCACAGAAAAGCCAGTAATGATATCCTGCCTAATTTAAAATATTATTCAAAATATTATCCATCTATATTTTTATCGCTCTTTCTCTCTGTTCCTGTTTCTGTCTCTGTGTTTCTCTCTTTTTAAACCAACACTATCTGTCTATCTATCTATCTATCTAGATAGATAGATAGATAGATAGATAGAGACAGACAGACAGACAGACAGATAGATAGATAGATAGATAGAGACAGAC